CAGGCGGTGAAATGTTCTGATAACACATGAAAAAAGCGGCAATCACAAACGATAAGTTTCAGGAGTTGTTTGGCAGGAAAACTGGCCCTAACAAACAGCCCCTGATAGTATCAGAATCACCTAGGACCAACCTTCAGAGTTAGCCTGAGGATAGTCTTTCGGTTAGCCAAGTCATGTCAAAGATCTTTACCGAACATCTTTACGTAGGCCTAAATAAGCACGCACGCCTGTATCCTGTCCGGCGAAATCGAGAGGTTGATAAACTGTTCGGCAGTGCAGATCTTCGCATGCGGCGTCCGGTTTTCTAGTATAGACGGCGTTTACACACGCGCGTTTGCGCCTGTAGATTTAACGGGGCTTCTTGTGTGAGTTCAAGACTAGGCCTGGCTTAGATCGTGTGTCCATAATGCATTTTAAAGTGCGTTCCGCTGTTGCTCTTTATCCCTATCAGCTACATTAGCAGCTGACTTATTTTATTTTTTTTATTTCAGTATATATGAGGGAGGTAGGCGGAGCCTTCAAAACCCCTAGTTATAGAAAAAGATTGAAAAATACCTGCACATGCGTACGCATATATTTGGTTCATTTTGTCCGTCATAATCAACAAATATATGGCCATTATTTAAGCTTTTATCAAGTTTTCTCTGCTAGGTCTACGCACACTTTCGGTTTTTCACTCTAAACTTTCTTGCACACCTAAACGTTTCTGTAAGTTGTTTAAATTAGCTAAAATACGCACACTTGGTTTCGGCTTGTGAAAAAGCGCGACTTTTGTATCCGCCTGCTGCATTGGTGTCGTTATTTCGTTGATTGCACTCCCTGCCAGCACCAGCCCCCTCTGCCCCCCTCATGGTCCCGCCTCATGAGGGGGCTATGGCGGGGCCAGAGGGGGTTATGAGGGGGCTGGAGAGGGGGCTATGGCGGGAGAAATCCCCGATGTGGTCCCCTCATCGAGAAAAAATGCGCAGGGGGACGCCTTATAATTGTCGTTTTTTGCCCCCACCCCTGGCCATATTAGACTACCTGACGGTAATGCGGATCCCTAAACGTCTTATTACACGCGTTAGAATCCTGATCACCCTTTTCCTAGACAGATTTTCCCCGATATCTGTCATATATTATACCTTGATGCCTTCCTGCGAACCCCATATCGCCAAATATGTCTTGTTTCATTCCAGCCCCCTTCCCAAAGCCAATTTCCCCCGCGATCGTTAGCGGACCTTCACGCGTGATTGCGAAACCCCCAACGAACCATATCGATCAGCACACTTGAACGCCATTTATAGCTTGAAGAAAATTTATTGAATGAAAAAGATAAAAATTTGATATGAACAAACTGTCATATTTCCTTAAGGGACATATTTGGTAACCCGTCCATGTCGGTAGCGGGTATCTAAAATAAAAGAAAGCAGAGCGTCCAAATAATAAAATTGTCAAAAAACATTTTATTGAAGTAAGGCATTTAAGTAGTATATTTCATTGTCTAAAGTAGTTTGAAGCTGTCAAGCTCGAATATATGCAGGCTTAATAGATATAAAGAAACTCACACTTACAGTGTCGTCGGAAGGAGAGTGTATCAGATATTATTCGGCTGAATTGTAGCTGACGGGAAGCTGAAAGTTGCTTATAAAGACTCAAGTCAATTAATTTACTGTGGTATTTGCCGTGGTATTGTCTCTACACTTTGATCGGTCACCGTATCTGTCCCGCGCACCGTGGAACCAATCAATTGTGCTCTTGCGAATTGTGTCTACGGTACAATTTGAGAAGGCGGCGTTTTCACGAATTGCAGCTGAACAAGTAAACTTAAAAATAAATATCCTACCAATAACAAGGCCATTAAGGGGGCTGCCGACGAAGACCTGCTTATCTCTTGCTCCGCCCCAGCAGAAACTGAGGCATAGGGGATGGCCGAGTAGAGTGGTTAGTAGATTTCTGACAATCCCTTTCTCGTTTCGCCCGTCAATAGTTGCCAGACGTTTAATCTATAATCCGTTCAAATAATAGAAGTGTCAGTATATGTACATACCGCGTCTTGAGCGAAACCAGCATTCTTCTCAAGCTCACTGACGAATGCCTTGTAAGCCTCCTTCGTACACAGAGGCAAATTCAGTGAAGGCGGAATCGCTTCAGCTGGCTGACGTAATTCCTGAATGGCCTTTAAAATTTCGGACATTGTAGCTTTAACCTGCGTCATATCAGCCCGTAATTCGACGATTTTCTCAGCAACGTAATCAACTTTCTTTCTTCTCGTATGTCATCAAGAATCAGAGCAGTCCTACCGGACGCATTCAACATCCTGCTGCACCTGTGATAACCGTTTGTCATACGCGGTTGTGCTGGGTTCCCGGGGCAGCTTTGAGAAAACTTTAAAAGAAACGGCGTACTGATTAGCCCTGGGTGGCGTAGGTTGGCCTGAGTTTCTCCATTAAGGTGTATTTTCCGAGCTATTGTGTGGTCTAAAAGTTGGCATAATCTACACGGATTCTTACTGGAGAATGCGTGGCGGCGCCGGCCAGGCAGTTAATTGGTTATCTTGTCTCGATCTTTGCGCAGCTATTTTTTTTTCTTCTTCTTCCTCCTCCTCACCATCATCATCGTCATCGTCGTCGTCGTCGTCTGAGGTGAGCTGGCGGACAAACCTACAAAGATAAATTAATGAAAAGCGAACACGTACTTTTTCCTCATCCCTCGGCCTAATTCGGTAGGCTCTGAGTGGGAAAGGTCGTCAGTGTCTACAGCCTTTTTTTCTAGCTGAAGCGCTCTGTCGAGGGAGAGGTCATTCTTCAGCATACGGACCGGGTAAATCTTTGTGCCTTCTGGAGGCTTTTGGTTATTTACAAGTAGACGGTCACGTAGCTTGTGGTTCTTAATCCACACCACACAGTTATCGCTGTGGAACCAACACTTCGGCACGGCCGCCACAGATTTATCATTCAGAAACTCAACAACCCCATACATTTGGGCATTGACCTGATCCCTTCAACAACTTCATCCCATCAATGTGCAATTGGATGCGCATTTCAGGCATTTCAGTCGTTTGCCGACGATTTACCTCATCAAACAAAGCCCGATCAATGCCCAGATGGACATAGTTCCCGTTGCTTAGGACCTTGTTGCTACAAGTTCTTGGATTCTTCAAGAGCGTACGCGGGTCCCTCAGGACTTCTGGGTGGTACGGCCGGAGCATATCGAACATAGCCTTCATCATAGACAGAGGCATTCGCGTGTTCAGACATAACTCTTGTAAATCTCATAGAAAAGCTTTTCCCCTTTTTTCCGTCATATGCTCTTGACTTCCTGCAAAATCTACACCCACTAATATTGTACATCGATGGAAAAACCTACCAGTGTAACCCTTAGCCGTTAATTCAGGCATTTCTAATTCAGGAGAGTTACTTGGCAAAGAAGACGCTGTTGGAACATTAACCTGTTGGGTAGCCTCCGTTGCGGCATAGTAGGCCGTCCTCAGGCGCCGGATTCGCTTATATGCAGCGCTCCGGTTGATTCCAAAATACTTACGTTTCATTTCTACTTAATCTCAATGACAAAAATGATAAACAAAGGCTCAAAGTGCAGCTTTTCAGATCACTCTGCTACAACGGATATCTCATTGATATTGCTTAAATTAGCAGGCAATTCTTCAATGATAATACTAATTTACAGGTCAAAACTTACAAAATATCATAAAAGATAGCAAAAGGGCAGTTCATTACATACCACAGTAGCGTATGCACGTAGACCACAGTAGACAGTATTCGCACTCACGACGAGAGGAACGCAGCTCACGTGGGAGATAAGTGCCGCAAAGTGACACACTTAAACAATTATGCGCATTATATCAGGATTGCTCAGACATGTCATAAGCACAACTACCGAAGTCCAAAAGTACCTTTTGCCATTAACAAAACAAATTATAACCGAAAAGTGCACGCTTATTTACGGAGTAATGCCTGTTAATGGTGCATTAACGACCAGAAAACTTCGAGGGGGCTGGCCCCCTCATAGCCCCTTCTTGGCCCCCTTTCAAGAGGGGGCCACGTGCTGGCAGGGCTCATTCGCCTCAATCGATTTTAGTCAATCGACACGAATCGTTTGTATATCTTGGTCATATTTAACTGGACGTAAATTCACCTGAGCAACAAGCCTTGTTACTGACTTCGTCTCGAGACTTTACCCAGAACATACACCGTACGGCCAACGACTCTGGAGGGGGCTTTATTTTTCGTGAGTCTGTACAATTATTTACCTTTTGTCGTTTTTGTTATACTCTTTGTGCTATCGTTAATTTTCTTGCAAGAAACGCAGTATCTCCCACTTAGATATTATTTATTATTCTTTGTAGTTTAGTTGCTGTTTGCACAACAAAAGTGGTGATCCTGTTTTCTATATCTACGCGACTTCTTTTTTACCATGACTGATAACGAACCTAAAACAGACTCTCTCTACGTCAATGCCCTTTCCTTCAAACCACCTCTTTTCAGTTCATTTCAGTTTATTTGGTAAGGATAATAGGCAAAGCCTTTGAAAATGTTATTGATTACATGTTAGCTCGTTAGAAATAACTGTACACGAACAAAAACTATTCACTATTACAACAGTACTTGATTCATTTGAGTAGCATTGTCTCAGAGAAAACATTTGTGGGGACGTGGGGTCTTAGTTCAGATTCAGACTGTCAAGGGAAAACAGGGGACACAAATAATCATCCAAGCGTTTCTTGAAGAGTTGCAGAGACGTAGCCTCCACCACTGACTGAGGGAGATCGTTCCATTTCTCCACTACCATCTGCGTGAAAAATTCAGAACGAAGATTCAGTCTGGACATTGTTGTCCGTAACTTCCTCGAGTGACCACGAAGATTGGGTGAAAGGTGCCACTGGAACATGTCCCCCAAAGCCAAGCTCATGCTCGAGGCCATGTATTATCTTGTAGACGAGGATAAGATCACCTCTTTGCTGCCTGTGACACAGAGGGAATAAATTAAAGCAATTCAGTCTGTCTGTGTAGGATTGTCGACCCCGGGTTTGGCTTCGTCAGATTGAGGCGGTTTCCTCAACGAGCCGCATTATTAGCGAACGCACCCGACACTCTTATATGGTGCAGAGTCTTCCATTCGGCGTTGCCGTCGATGTGAACGACCTCCTCGACCCTATTCCTGCCAACGACCCGTACACCCAGTTAACGAATGCTGTCATCCAGAAAGTGGCTAAGTCGGCTAATCGGATGCCACGGGAGGTATTCACGCAGGTAGAACTGGGTGATCAAACTCCTTCGCAGCTTATGCGCAACATGCGCTCATTGCTGGCTGGTCGTCATATGGACGACGCCATCTTTCGACAAATTTGGCCAGATAGATTGCCGGTTCCCATGCAGCTGGTTTTGGCCGTGCTGGACATTAGCAACTCTCTAGACAAGATGGCCAATCACGCCGACAGGATCAGCGAATGTTATTCAGTCGGCGCGATATGCGCGAATAATCAACTGACCTCGACTTCCGACAGATCAGATAGGGTAGCAGTTTCCTGTCCAGAAGGCGCTTCTTCACTATAACGCGACACTTCTTGTGTGGAGCGGTCAGCCTGTCGTTGCTCATCACGCAGAGCTGCCACGCCATCAGGTCCCTCGAGACAGCCGAACAGACCTCACCGCGGCGACTATGACGACCTAAAAGACCCTTTACGTCTTCTGTGCACACAAGGGAACACCATGCGCACTGCTATAAATAGCTTAAACTCGGCCAGAAACCAGTACGCCTCGCGCCGTCGTTCTAAATCTCGTGAACGTCCATCTACAACTCTGTGCAGGTATGATCGTATTTACGGTCCGAAAGCTAGAAAATGCATTCCTCCCTGCACATACCTGAAGGCCCCACCACAGGGAAACGACCGCGCCAGCCAGTAACGACGAGAGCTGCCGCTGGTCAGTCACAAATCAGTCGCCTCTTTTAAATCAGTGACAATTCGAGCGGCCTCCGTTTCCTTGTCGATACTGGTGCTGAGATCAGTGTCGCCCCGCTTCCAAGGCGCCACCATCTCAAGCCTTCGCAGTTTTCATTGCAGGCTGCCAATAGCACCACCATCAACACTTATGGCCAACAGTCGCTCACACTTGACATCGGTCTTCGGGGACGTTTACAGTGGGTCTTTGTGCAGGCCGACGTTAACTCTTCCATTACTGGGGCAGATTTCCTGACACATTTTGGCCTTGCAGTCGACGTCAAGCATTGCAAACTTGTCGATACCACAACCACACTCTTTGTCGTTGACATTGCTGCTTCTGAACCCTCGGTTAGCATCCAGTTGACCGTACAAAGGTCGCCTTTTGCTGACCCTTTGAAGGACTACTTGTCCCTCAATAAGACCTGTCAGTTAATCGGGGAGGTTCAGCATATGGTCTAACATCATCAGCACGGAGCAACCTGTTCACGCTCATCCTCGCCATCTTCACCTGAAAAACTTCGGATAGCAGGGAACGAATTTTCGCATATGATGAATTTAGGAATTATTCGTCCTTCCTCCAGCCTATGGGCTTTTCCCCTCCACATGTGGCCCAAGAAATCGACTGGTGATTGGAGGCCATGCGGCCACTTTGCTTCACCATTTCAGCTCCGATCCCCCACGGGCAGCAGATCTTGACCAATGCCGCTTCCAACAGTGCTGTCGGCGCAGTCCTGCTTCAACAGGTGAATGACCAGTTGCAGCCATCGGCTTTCGTTTCACAGAAGCTAAAACCGGCGCAGACACGCTACAGTACTTTCTCTCGCGAAATTCTTACCATCTACTTGGTCATTCGTCATTTTCGACGCCTCTTAGAGGGCAGAGATTTTTCGATTCACACCGACCACAAACATCTCACTTACGCCCTCAGGGCTAAGCCTGATCGGTACACGGACAAGGAAGTTCGTCAGCTGGATTATATATCGTAGTTTACTGCAGATATCCGCTACGTCGGAGGCAGCGACCATGCTGTTGCTGATGCATTATCCTGTCCGGACATCAACACACTTACACCCGATTTCGACCTGGCGAAGCTCACAGACCTCCAATCAGGCGACAAGTCCATTGACGACCTGCATTCTACTATCGATCTGCAACTTCGAGATGCACCACTTCCCGCATCACCAGGTACGATTTTGTGCGACTGGTCCACAGGCACCCTTCGCCCTTTTGTGCCACTATCATACCGCATGACAGTGTTTGGCCATTTCCATTTCCTGTCACATCGTGGCATCCGCTCCTCTCGTAAGCTGATCGACGCTCGTTTTATCTGGCCGAAGATAAACTCTGACACCCCATTTTAGTAATACCCGCCTAATCCCATAAAACTTGACAAAGACTCCATGAACAACCATATTAAGTCTGTAGACTGGAGCTCATATCTTCCAACAATATCCCCTATGGAAGCAGTTAACCTATTGTACTCTGTCCTATTTATAATTCGAGAGACCTAGATAGACGAGAGACTCCCGTATAAGACACCACAAATCCCACACTTTCTTTCAACTAAACTAAAAAAACTAAAAAAACAGCTACGCAACACTTCTGTAAGTTATTTATCTACACTTCGACGAATTAGGGAAATCCACTACCTAGTTATGAAACTGGAAACACAAAAGACCACAGCAACAGAACTTCGGGAATTAGAATCCCCTGAACGAGCAGCTCAGATGTTTCAGGAACAAATGAATAATCATCGGAAGTAAAGACCACGAAATATTATTGATGAATGGGGAGAATTTATAAAAAATTACAATCAAATGGCAAACGCATTCAACAAATAATTCTCAAGATA